AAAATGTAAAACATTTCACCATGCGGAGTATTTCGGAGAGTTGCGGTGAATCTTCTCTGAGGTAGTTGTGTTGACTATATTATGCCCTTTCGCATGACGCCATTTTTTGGGAAAAAATATATTATTGATTAACCCTACGACAATGCGTATTTTATTCCTAAGTCAGTATCTAGGTCCAAGTCGCCAAGTAGGTAAACTATTGAAAAGTTATCCAAAAGCTTTTGTGATTGTGCGGCAAATTAATGCTGCCTGTGAGCATAAGTTGAAAAAACTGGTGAGTTTATCTGATGTAACTAACAGTTGATGCATATATATTTTGTGAAGCAAGCTTCCGATATGTTGTAGCTTCGTGCACATCTGAGCATGTTTTTGGTATCAGCTATTRTTTAAACTAGGTCCTATAAACAAGCAGTGCATACTTTACAACTTTAAAGATAGAAGTCTGAAATCATCAGTTTTCATTTCTTAATACCCTGATGTAAAGTATAATTTCTTGGATTCGGTAATATGTTTGAAGCACCAAAAGATGTAAATTTTTGAAGCACCAAAATATGTAAATTTTTGAAGCACCAAAAGATATAAATTTTGAGTAGATTGGTGACGGCGCACTGGTCAAAGACAAGCTTTGTATCTTTTCGTTCGAATTGAGACTTTCGCATTGTCTTCAAGCTACGATATTAGAGCTAAATACATTTACCATAAATGTCAAAGAGCAGAATGAAGGTTTAAAAAGTATCCTACATTCAACATGGCGCGTACAGTAATGCTCATGTGCCAAAATATTTTGCATTTTGTACTCTGCTCTCTGCGATACTCAATCATTGTTTATATCTATTGTCGGATCTTTCATTCGTTCGGCGAGACGTTATATGTATGTACGTTGCCCTGTTTTCCCGATGTTTCAAAGCAAGAACCACTAAAATCTCAAAAAAAACTTAATTACGATGTGTTTCGTTCAAGAGAATTTTATAACAAATGTATACATCGAAATTTTCGTAAGACTTTGCAGCGTGGAAGCGTACCACGAGATCGCTCTTGTGTATTATTTTCAAAATACAGGAGACCCCATTACCACAGCAAGACCAAAATTCTTTATTCAGCAATGCCACACAATAAATAGATAACGGGCCGAAACATCATCGCTTTCGAAGCGATATAGGCTTGTTTAAAATGTTAATGGTGATTTCGGCAGGAGGGAGGAAACCCGGAGAATCCAGTGAAAAACTTTCAAATCAACCTCCAGATCGAGAGAACCAACAAACTGATCTACTTACATGTGGTCCAGAGTCCAGGAATCAAAACCTAGACCCCAGAGGTGAGAGGCAAGTATAACTGATGGTACCAGCTACGCCATCTTTGATTTTAAAATACAATATCGACTGACTCCTAAAAATAAAATGATGTGGCGCCCCATTTCTATCTTTCTCATTTTCAGTTTCTTTTGTTTGAATTTCCTTCCGTTCTTAAAGGGTTTGTTTGCTTCAGTCATTCTGTTTAGTTCCCTTCAGAACAAACAACTAAAATGAAAGGGAAATTGCGCAGGAGTTGTTGTTCTCAGTTGAACTTGAGCGGTACGTGATATACCTTCCCCGGGGGTGCGCGTTTCTTTCTCATCTTTGTTTTAAAATCAGTATATGAAAGGCATTTGAGAGCTAGCAAGCTGTCACTCATTTTCATTCGGCAGAAGCAGACACTGGAAGATATTCACAATTGTACACAAGGGAGGGGTGCCAACGTTCCCTGAAACTAGTACTTTTTTTGCCCTGTGTCATCATTCATAACATAACGCACAGTTGATTATTGTCTGTCTTGCTGTCATGAATATCTATATTTATTATATCTGGGAAGCCATAGGAAGCTGAAATCAAAATAGGAAGCAAAATTGACGTGTAATTCACAACATTCTATTTAGCAATGAGCTCGTAGCAATCTTCTCCGTCCGAGGAGCCGGAAAATATCGCGTGAACAACCACTTTACGTCATTACTGAGAATGACGACCACGATAATTGGAATATTATGGTTTCCTCCCGTGATGAGGGTCGCGGGATATAGATATGTCATCAATATCGCTTAAAAAGAATTTACTAAAAACTAAAGTGCATATTTGTTTTTTCCCAGAATTCAATTATTTTTGTCATTTTTATGTGTGGTAAATAGGCTATTTACCAGATATACAACAACAAAGAAATATGAGTTTCGTGGTGTGACAATTACGTGAAGAAGACCTAAACAAACTTGAAATGTTGATATTGGTCTACCTGTGCGCGCAAAGGAGGAACCTGTCTTTCAAACATTTTTGTTTCCTAAAGGTGATTGGCTAGGCCGATTAGCTAAAATTCTTTAACAAAAAAAAACTATATTTTTAGAGTTTTTTCGTTCATGATAACTTTTTAATCCCTAAGTATGAAGATAATTATAAAAGGAATATATTTAGCAAAATATTTTGCATAAAACACGAAATTTATTTTAATCTTAGCCAGCGTACTCCGACGTTAATGTAGCCAATCAGGTTAGGGTTTCTATAGAGGTTTAATGGGATTCAACGAGTTCCCGGATCCCAATCCCTTGAGAGACGGAGAGGTAAAAACAGCCTCAATAAACTTAAAATGCTGGCGTGAAATGGGAGAAGACAACATCCTAAATCTGATGCCATAAACGCTGGATTAATGAAAAGAATTCGCACAGTGGTGTACGGCCGTTTTGGAGAGAGTAGCTCTCGTGGAGGCAAAGAAGACACAACCGTATGTGAGCGACTTCGACCTCAAGACTTCGCAGTCTCGAAGGTAGTTTTACGTCGATTCTCGTTCTCAATATTGAATTTAAACTCCTTGAAAATTATCCAAGCTCCTCTTGTCATGACCTGAGAGCTGAAACATTGTTTTTGGTCTTGCTCAGAGGGGGATTTTTGTCTTTTTTGCAGTCGTTTCGTTATGGTTTTCCTCATCAGCCTACCTGTGTTGCAGTGGATTCTGTTCAGGGTATTTTAGCAATAGGTACTTATACTGGTTCACTGCGAATGTATCCTTCAACCTACGAGTTTTTGTATTCAAATATGTGGTCGCTGAAACTCATTTTAAGCCATGACCCGTCCATCTACAAAGATAAGCTGCCAATATTTCCTTAATAATTAGATGAGTATTTGATTTTTACGTGGACATTTAACACCTTTAGCCTTGTCGTTTATGAAGGACGTCTGTGATATCAGTCACTCAGTAAATTGTCTTTTTTATGCAATTGAATGAATATCTTGAAATTAGAAGCCCTGCGAAGCATTTAATTGAATGGATACTCCACATTTATTACTTAAAATTCCACTATAAATCTTTAACTAAGTCAGATTGTTCAACAGTCTTGTCTTCAATTATTGTAAGCTGCACATATTCCACAGGAATGTATTACGCTTCAATCAAATAATTTCCTTCGCGTGATCATGTAATATTCATAATTTAAATTAATCTTGTTTCACATACTTCCTCTTTCTTTTAGTATCCACGATCGCTCTTGTTATTGTTTATCTGACAGAATTTGAACACTTCTAAAGCGCTTCTATGACAATCGCAGTTAAGGAGTTTATCTTTGGTAATACGATTCGAGAGAGCTGTAATTTTGTTTACAAAACATCAAGAGAAAATTGAAAGATTGTTTTTTTAACACCTAAAAATGTCAAAAATCTAAATYTCTCCACTTGATATTTAACTCCATAAGAAACTATTTGCTGTTCCTGAGATGGTTGTAAAGTTAACATTTAAACCAAAAGAAAATTTATTCTGATTTAGAGAGGGGGGGGGGGGGGGGGAGATTGAAGATTATCCTTTTACCAAATGAGATGACCTTAGGAGCAAAGTTGGTAGAGCGTGGGAGAGTTGTTTTTCCTTGACAGTCTTCAGATTAGGTCGTCCAGGTGTTGAAGCACATGTACAACATGAAGGCAACACTCCTGTTAGGAATCTACGTTTTCTGATTAATGAGGTTAGTAATTAATCCATCACTTGTCATCATCATTATCATTCATTGTCAACATTATCATTAATACACATTTTTATCATCGCTCATCAGCAACATCATCATCACTACATATTCGGGGACCATGAAGGGGGAGGGGCAGGGGGGCTGGAGCCYGCTCCCACTTTTTCCTTTTTACCATACTAGTCTCCTATATTTTCTAATCTTAGACCCCTGCCACTTTTTCCAACTTTTTAGGGTACTCCACAGCCCATGGTATTAATACCATCACCATCATTAATGACATGACCATTACATGTCATTAGTGCAATTCTATATTCTGCAAACTCAAACATTTCAACGGCTAGTTGTGAAATGAGTTTTTACTTCTGCCAGTCAAAAATATATAAGGTAGAAACTGATAATTTTTGATTGATAGCATCAAAAAAAAAACAAAATTCAGTGTGCAGCTTGCAATTACCGAGTAAGTAAAATATCAAAAACTGCAGTAAAGTAATGCTAATTTGTACAGTCCGGTCTTCCATCTCTCCTACCTTCTTCCTAATCCCACTCCATCCTCCTTCCCCACACACATCTACACCCATACCATTACAATTTTCACCAATTCTTCTGATTCAAAATTTTTGGTCAACAATCTTCAAACTTGCTACAACACATGGAAAGCTTTACCAGCTATTATTGAATTTGATGATTAACCATTCCTAGAGTTTTCCATATTCTGTGAACTCTGTAGCTGAAATTAAGTTTTTTGTTGCCGTCAATTGAAAATAATCAGTCAGTACCTTTTATGTTCTTGACTGGCGGAAGTAAAGAACCAATTTCACAACAAGCCGTTGGAATGTCTGAGTTCACAGAATATGGAAAACCACACTAATAAGGATTGCAGAGGATCTTAAAAATTTAGTAGACTAGTACATAATGAAAGTTGGGGGCTGAGCCATGAAAATTTAGTGGATTATTAGCAAAAAGTGGCAAGGATAAAACCCTTCCAAGCCACTTCTCTCTCTACAACATCCTTGACTTTGTAATAACAYGCAAAAAACTTCACAATTGGTTTTTTGTTTTGTACCCAGCAATGACTACTAAAATAATGCTAAAGACCCTGATATAAAAACGTGGGGAAGCTATAGCCCTAGCTCAGCAGATTCCTTCTCTACAATCCCTGATTAATTTGAAGGTTTACTGTCTTGTAATAACACATAACAAACTTTACAATTTGTGTTTTGTACCCAGGGGGCGCTGATAAGTACTTGTCCAGAAGACTCCATCCATTTATGGAATCTGCGTCAAGCACAGCCGGTTATTGTTCAGTCACTTAGGTTCAACAGAGAAAGGTGTGTTGAGGAAGTTCTTCCATAAAATGATTGCATGACAGGAAGTTGAAATTGAAAGTACACTTTTATCTCTGACTTTAGTTGCTTTATTTATTCAAACGTTTTGACTGCAAATCAACAGTCTTCATCGGTTAATAATCATTGTTAGTAAGAAATTTTGCTCCTGGATATTTTTCAAGAAATATTACAGATAAGAGTGTAAGTGCTCATGTAAGTGTTCAGTTTTATGGCCAGATTAACATCTGGAATGCAAATATAGTCATTTTCAGGATTGCGATTGTGTACAGAGTTTGTTATTGACATAACTGTTGAAGTCTGTTGAGTGGGAATGTCTCAAAAAAAAAAAGACTAAAGTTAGAGACAAACAATTCTTTTATTTTCCATTAATTTTAAACATGAAACCTGACCTGAAGTTCAACATAAATAACAGGAAGTTGTTCGTTCCTTTTAGCAGGATTTGTATTGACTGCTTTCACAGCAGGCACCTTGTTAGACAAACAATAGAAATTTTCTCCATGGGGTAAAAACTAATGTTTTCTCATACAAAAACATTGCATTGTTCTTGCCTTTTAAAGTGTATATGACACGAAAACATTCCATCATTTAAAATGTATAGTTTGTTAGTAATAATAAATATATCGTAACAAAATTTGTTTCAAAAGCTTATTTCTTGAGATATTTGAGAAAGTTAATCCCAATTTGTGACGTCATTTTGTTGACACGTACTCTAGATTCCGTAGTAATGTACTAAATATAAATTGTAATTCATATAAATTAACAACAAAAGACATATTTTAGTCAGCTTCATTTGATGGCTTACGTAGTACTCTTCCAATGTTGGGAAATTGAAAAGTGTACTACTTGAAATTAAGATTCTATATTCAAACATATTTCATGTATTTGCAACTAAATCTGGAGACTTGTAAACAAAATGACGTCACAACTCGTGCTAAAATTTTTTGAATTTCTAGAGAAATACGTTTTTGGAACAAATTTAACCGTGATATTCTTATTAATGCCAATAAACTACACATTCTTAAGAAACATTAAAATTTTTTCGTGTCATATACACTTTAAACATTACTGCAACGAAACCACTACAGTCAACTCTCGTTACAGCGGACACCTTCGGGACCGTCACTTCATGTTCGTAATAGCGAGCGTCCGTAATAGTGAAAATTATTTACGGTCATTTCTTTGTCAGTGTTTTTGTCCGGGATTTTGCTCCTGTCCGTAATAGCAAGGTGTCCGTAATATCGGGGTGTCCGCAAGGCAAGAGTTGGCTGTAATTGAGCAGAGAAATTTGTGTATAAATAGATTCTTTCTTAAATATATATTTTTTGTCAATATGGTTTTAGTCAATTTTCCTTATATTCAAAAATTGTAAAGGAATTTCGTTTTTAGGGTCATCAGTAGGGGCTTTGACATTTTGGTGGTTCTCAATAAACTTACCCTTCTTTTAATCTATTTCTCTCTCTCTTCCTCCCACCTCCTTACAGTACCTTTTCCCCATCATCTTTATCCCATTCTTCTCTTGGCCTACCCCACCCCTTTAGTTTAAAAAATATTGACTAAATAGATCGTAATATATAATAATATGATAACATCTGATCACCTGATTAGGATAAATCATAGGGGCCTCTGTTTCTACAAAAAAGGTCATTATTCCTGCTCTAGGGTCAACACAAACAACATTATAATAAGAACACAGTAATAAACAATTGATGTTTGTACTAAGCTACAGCAAAATTAACTTGATATTTGCTTTTCAGAAATGGTGTACGYTACCACATTTATCCCTAAATATTTAAAATATGTGGGGTTATTTGATTACTATGATAATTTGAATAAAAATTCAAATGAAAGAATTTGAAAATTTCCTAAATTTCACTTTAATTCTTTTTGTTGATTTTATCGACCTTTTGTGTTTTTGCCTATCCAAATATATTTGCCTATCCAAATATATATGTTAATTATTCTTGTTAATCGTTCAAAGTATTGATGGGTTGCAAGCATTCCCAAGAGAGTTAAAAGACAAAAACGGCCATTGTGGTACCGTTAACAATAGATGCTAATGAGAAATCTTTTGTTAAATGGTACCAACATGGCCACGATGACGTAATGTGCAAACAAAGAACCCTTCAAGTATGAGACATTACTGGAGTGGGGGGAGGGGTGGGAGGTTTGAGTGGGTGGGAAGGGGGAGGAAGGAGGAGGAGCTGTAGAAACAGCTACTTTGTAGCTTAGGGAACCAATTACATTAAAATGATTTTTTAAACATATTTATGACAATTTACTTTTTTGTTTTGTTGTATTTAGAATTACCTGCTTACATCTTCCATTCACTTCAAAATGGATGTTTGTGGGAACTGAAAAAGGAAATATTCATATTGTAAATATTGAGAGGTTTGATGTGTCAGGATACAGCATAAACTGGAACAAAGCTATAGATATGTAAGGAGTTTTTCTTTATGATGCATTTTTTATGTGTAGGCTTCTCACTTTTTCTCTTACCATTGTTCATTTATGCATTCATCCATCCATCCATTTACCCACCCACCCATCTTTGTGCAGCCRTCTGTGCATCAATCCATCCATCCACCCGCACACCCACCTCTCTGTGCATTTATATGTCCATCAATCCAAACATTTCTTCCTTCCTTCCTTCCCTCATTTCATCGTTCGTTTGTTTGTTTGTTCGTTTGTTTGTTCCTTTGTTTGCTCAATATTATTTATTCAGAATGAATTTTACCAAGCTGTTCTTTTGTCATAGTCAATGCAAGACTCATCCTGGTCCTGTGGTACAAATTAGTGACAACCCAATAGATTCCAATAAGGTAAAAATATCTCTTGATGGGTACTCCCAATAATTGATAATCTTACATGGGAGGGCTGGGGAATATTCTCTTGGCTGGGCAAATATGAAAGGTACCAACTGATTAGGTTTGATTGACAGCAGCGAAAAACCAAATTTCAGCAAGCAGCTCGCAGACACAGAGTTTGCATGTTTATGAAAATTGCAGTATTCAACTTGTAATGCTCTGTAGTATGCACATTCCTTACTATACAATGGGCCTTATTCAAAGAAAAGAACAATTAGGATAAGGATTAGGATAATGGGAGTATTCAAAGTTATGACGAGATACATCTGAATAGACCATTTCACAGATCCCGCGGCTCATAGGAGGTAATATATTCTTTAGAAATTGCCTACAACCTGTGAAATTTTGAAGTGTTTCAATTGTTCGCTGATGTGTAAATTCCTTTCATTACTGCAGACTGTAGTCAAATTCTAAAGAATAATTACATGCTGACGAGGCTGAGGTTGAGTAACGGGATCAGTGAAATGGCCTATTTATATGTAGGGGTCACAGGTACCGGGTCACATGACCTTGACATAATATTTACTAGTAACGAATAAACCAACTTATACAATCAGCGCACTCTTACAGGATCAACAATTTTATTTGCTCTAGATTTTACTTGGATATGAATCTGGTATGGTTGTACTTTGGTCATTAAGATCAAAAACTGCAGAGCTAAGAGTTGCTTGTCCACAAGTAAGTAAACACACCATTGTACTTGCCCTGTGGCAGGGGGTGAGGAACAAGGATAATAATGGGAGTTTCTTATATAGCGCATTTCAAATATCTCAGTGCGCTTTACAYTTATGATCAGTTGAGGACTTTATGGGCTGCGTATTAAGGCGCTTTTAGCAGCCGTGCAGCTTACAATCAAGAATTTTTGGTATAGATCAAATATTACTCATGTGTATAATATAAGGTTAAAACACAGCCTGGGTGGTGTGTAGGGTGTGGTAGGAGTTGGTGAGTGGTAGCCATTGGGACAGTGCTGTGCAACTAAGATTCTAAAACTAATCTTGGGTGTGGGGTTGGGATAGTGCTGTGCAACAAAGATTCTTAAGAATGTTTTGGGGGTGTGACAGGGGTGGTTGATTTGTGGGGGTTGGGTAATGCTGTGCAAGGAAGACYCTTAACATTATGTACAGTCCTGCTTTGGGGGTGTTGGGTGTGGCATGGATAGGTAAGTGGCAGAGGGTTTGGATAGTGCTGTCTGACATACATGTAGATTCTTATGACTGTGTGCACAGTTGTTGTTTAGGGGAGCATGGATGTGGCAGGGAGTAGGGTTGTGCTGTGCAGCTAAGATTTCCAGTAGGGTAGTGTGTGTGTTTGTGTGTG